TTATGATTACGGTTGAATTAAAGTTTCCTTAGCAATCCACTATTATAGCAATAATATAATAAATTATATTATTCCTGAATAGCCACTAATGAAAGCATGCGTTGGCTGATGGCTAATCTAAGAGATGCATTGTTTGAATCCTTAACACAGTAGTGGATATCGGAAACTAGTCTGTTACTCAGTATTTCTTAAACAAAAGCCTTGTTTGTGGGTGCTAGTAGTAGAAGAGAAGCAGTTAGCGGAGGAGCGTAAGAAGCGGAGAGGAATTTCTGTGAGAAACAGTGGCAGTGAAGAGGATTTTCTCGGTGAAGTAAGAAGAAAATTCAAGTTCTGATGAATTGAAGAGGAGTTCAACGACGGCTTATAAGTGGTGAAAGCAAGTAGCAACTCCACGCCTTACAGTGAACAGAAAATTGCAGATTTCACCATTCACCATTTCGGCACAGTGCAGACAACGGGCGGGAACTGTAGATCGGTTCGGCTCTGTGGTAGAAGGCAGCAATAGGATTTCTAAGACAACAATTAAAAGGTTTGTGGAAAACTGTTATCAAATTTTGAATGTGATTAATATAGAACTATATGATGAAGAGTGAGTTGATGTAAGTTTGCAAAATAATGATTGAAACAGTAAAGGAAAACTAAGAAGTTCAAATTGAAGAATGACTAAATCATAGAAGATAGAAAAAGGTAAGAATCCTAAATTGCCCTATCTTTTATACTAGTTCAATTCAATAAAGTTCTTATGCAAATCATAATTTAAGGTGATATATATTATATAGTCTTATGCAAAGAGGAGGGTTTGGAGTGACTTATAATAGAAGAAGAGTAAGAAGTGAAGGTTTAGAAGAAGCAACCCGTCAAGAAGGTAAGTAATGCAAATTAAAATTTTAAATGTAATTCTTGTTAATTTTACATGGTATATTGGTATTTAAATGAATATAAGAGAAATAGGCATTACAAGTAATTCTCTGGCTAAAGGATGTTCCTAACCTGGTTTCCATATATGAAAGACCTCTTATATATTTGCATCATGAGACTTTCAAATAAGAGTTCTTATGTTTCATTAAAGATTTTGCTAGTTGGAAATATCTTGGAAAGAATCTCCATTATTAACATATGATACACTGTTTCATTACACAAATGAGTAGTATATAAAGATCTTTATGAAAGCAACAATAAAAATATGAGTTATGTTATAAAAGTGTATTGAGTAGTAATTTAACATAAAGTTTGGCTATATATATGATGTATCATTTACAAGGATAATTGGGACAAAAGGGTTCCCAAATATGTAACTACCTTGTGAGTGGGGCAAAAGGGACCCCAAAAGAAAAGATACCTGCATAGCAGGTGGGGCAAAAGGGACACTTCAGGAGGCAAAATGGACCTCTATGAAATTCAATGGCGATAACATCCTGGGCTCCATTGAATTTGTTTATGAAAGAATAGCCAAACATTTTTATAGGAAAAATTGATATTCAATATTGATCAAAGATAACAGTTAAAGGTAATGTCAAATAAGATGTTTTGTAATTTCGAATAATTTAAATTTTTATTTATGTTTTAATGTTCTAAATTTTTAATAAGCATATTTAATACTAATTACAACTGCATTACTTACTGAGTCTCGTAGCTCACCAGTATTTTCATTAGTGGTTGTTGTTATAGGAAAATGGAAAGAAAAAGTGGTTGCTGACTAGTTCAAGTATTTCAATCCTAGATATTAATTTTATTTCTGTTTGTAAAACAAAACTAAAGGTATGTTAATATTTCCATGAAATGTTTGTTTGGAATTTTTTTATGGCTCTATAATTATATTTTATGAGTACTTAAAACTTTTAAGTACTTCCGTTAATATACTAGTAAAGGTTTAAGATATGTTAATATGTAAACATGCAAATGATGGATTGTTTCAAATGGTTATAAGATGAAAAATGTTATGTTTTATTTGTTACACTCTACAGTACTGTTTAAGGGTACCGTGGGGTGTTACAAATTGAATACTATTTTAGTAGGTATCACAGTACCTTTGGACAAAGGAACTCATGACTGTCGATAAAAATATTTCTATCGGGTTGGGTCAACTACCTCATCTGACTAAATAGACTATGGATTACAACAGTCCAAGATGAATTAACTAGGGGATCTTAATCGGATTCATCATTATTTCCCTCATCATTTGCTTTAAGCACAAGGTGATAAATTTTAAATAATAAAAATCTAAATATATTACTACGACACACTAGATATTAAGTACATATCTAACGACTAGCCTAAATCAAAAGTACTCTCCTACCATTGGGAGGGCTAATAAATCATAATGTCATATGCCTATGAAAAAACCTAAACATAAATCTTAAATTTCTCACATACGAGGGAAAAATCTCTAGATAATGGCTTATCTCTAACTAATTTGTCTACTGAAAATTTGACTCGTAATATAATCCATTAAAACTCTCAAATCACATGGAGAGTGTTGACGAATATTTTCGCACCGACTCGACCCCGATCGAGCCCGACAGGATACAAAAATTCTCCAACAGAGAGGTTGGGGTGCAAAATTTTTGGAGCCTATAAGAAAATTTTGCTATCATTGCCACTAAATCATGGTTATAATCAAGGTGACATCATTAAATTATAGTCAAAGCCAAAGTCTGCACATTCCTCAAATCATCCCAAATCACCTTAGTGATGAATCATAGGCACACTTGACTAGGCACAAAGCCCACTTTAAATTAAAGTCATAAACATTCACCCCATGTCTACTTAGATAAAGTAAACGATGGCTATCATCAATGAGCCATTGATCAAGTTGAGTCAATTACCTCTATTGACCAAGTAAATTAAGGTCAATGATAAGCCAAGAAAACAAAAATATGAATCTTAATTGAGTTCATCATCATTCTCCCCAAAATCTATATTAAGCTGAAGGCATTAAAATTTTCTATAATAATGTTAATTTTATTGCTACTATAAGCTAAGTATTTTTCATCTACCGACAAGTCATAATAAAAAGTTATCCAAACATCAAGATAAATAAGTAGCTATAAGAGTTTGCGCGTATATAAACCTAAACTACATCAAAGAATCCTCACACAATGAGGGCAAAATCTCTAAATAGTATCTTATATACAATTTAATTTGTCCTTTAAAATTTGACTCAGAATAAAACTTTCTTAGAAGAGCTAAGTGTGAATTTTCCAAGCCCACAATCATCCCCCTTATGCCAGCCAATATGTGCTTGATAACCATGCAAGGAATGACAATCCTTAGAATAAATCGAAAACAAAAGACAGAGATTTACTACTTTGGAAAGCTTTGGAAGAGAAAACAAACGGCACCAAGAATAAAACAACTTTACATAAGCATCCCTTGCACCCAAAGTAAGCAAATCATGAATGAAAATCTTGAACCCAACACCACCAATTGTCCTAAAGAACAATTATGCAATTTCATCAAATAATGTTGATAGTTCTTGATCAAAGGTACAAATTAATTTGTAGGGTAATTTAAGAATATAAACCTAGAAAAAATACAACCTACACCAATGAAAAACTTTGAGAGATAATCCTTCAATTTATGTATCCCAAAACTAGAATAGCCAATATAGAGCATTTGTTTCATTTGTTGATTTATATTGCTTTTTAGTGCGCTAAATAAAACTCCATATGAGACTCATGAAATGACCTTTCTTTATTAGATTTAAAAGAGAATTTGACTGTTAACAAGACACAATAGAGAAAAAGGACTCATGTAGCCGACCCCACGTAATAGGATAAAGGCTTGATGTTGCTATTTTTGAAGCAATGCAATTTATAAAAAAATAAAATAAACAATGCATAAACCAAGACAGTTAGTACATTTCAATACAAGCACATAGACATAAAGAGTTCAGTAGAAGTAATTATGCAGCCTGAAATAAGTTGGGTGAGATAAGACTTTAAATAAGCTGAAGGGAAGAGAATCTACTCTTTTCTAACAAATATTCAAATGACTAAACGAACTCCAAGTTAATGTCTAAACTATTAGTGAAATTATACGAAAAGGATAAAATTGACTATACCTCCGAAGTTTCAATATTTGCAAGTGCTAATCCCTTTCGGTACAAAGCCTCTGCTAGCTGGTCGCGTGCTATCTCCATCTTCTTCTTAATTTTCTGCAGCGGGATAACAATTCTTAAATGCAATGCCAGTTTACCCAAGAAAGATTAAATTCAACAGAAGCATCGATTTATAGTATGCTCGATATGCCAACAGGAAAAAAACCACAGCAAAAATAAAATAAAATCAACGAGAGGGCAGCATTTGGCATAGAACTTGATCCAATCAAAGAATTCAAAGAGCTCAAAAAGTAGTTGTATTGTGAGAATTTTGGACTGATACAGAATAAATTTGAACCTAGTGCCACTTGCAAGATTAATCCCCAAAAGCCATAAACACCATTCATTAGGAAGAACTGACGAACAAAAATTTTTTTTACCTCGGCCTCTTCATCATCTGGATCAAGTTTAACTGAAAAATATTTTGCCAGTTCATCTTTATCAACGCTATCAATGACTTCATTAGCCACAGCAACAATCTGCAAAAGAAATATGGTCCAACTCTTGGACAACTTTAATAACAAGAAAATTATATGAATCATGATGCTAATATTGTTTATGTAAGAATATATTCATTTTAAGTTGCCAACTGCTACTTAACAAAGGAAAAGTACTCAATTTGTTAACAGGTCATACTTGGTGTTTGTTGTTCTTTTGATTTCCAGATATATTTATCCCAACAAAACATAACAAACAAAAGAAGAGCTAGCCAAAATCAAGGAGTAAATATTCTTCGTCGTTATAATCAGTATCCATGACAACATTTCCCACATCGACAATCTGCAAAAGAGATCAGATCTCAGTCTAGATCAATTTCGGTAACAAGCTAATTGGATGAACCATGATACTACCATTGCCTATCTTTGTATAAGAATAAGTTAATTTTAAGTTCCCTATAGCTACTTACCAACTATGATGCACCAACACTTTTCTTGAAATAGACGTGCAGTGTCCAACATGTATCCGACATGACACGCATCCAACATGCCTCCGACACAGTGTCGGACACGCCGAAAATGTCTAATTAAAAAAATATTAAATACAAATTGGACAAGTGTCCCACACGCGTGTCTTAAATATTTTATGAATTTTTTTTTAAATTTATTCTTGAATTTAAAAATTTTTAAATATAATATTGTATTTAATTTTTTTATTTATTTAAATAATAAATATTAAACTTCTTATTTCTTCTTCACAACACCAAATCAATTGCTTGTACTCAATTCCCCATTCATCGAATATTCTCATTTCATTTCTCCTTGACAGCTTGCGACTTCGGTTTCACACAATGCCCAACGTTAACTCAACATCGACCTTTTACACCGCTATGACATAGACATTTCAAAACCACCTCAATATCAAAGTCTAACACTACCTTGACATTGATGCTCGACAGTAGAAATTTCTAAACCCACAGCTTCATAGCACATCCTTGTCTGATGTCGTCTTAATATCGATGATCAACGCCCACTCAACATCAATGACAGACGTCCTCTCGACATTGATGCAGAATGCACAATAATTCTTCATAACATTGATGCATAACTTTTGTTAGCATTGTCGTCTCCTCTCTCAGTGTCTGATATATGACATCAACACCCAACCCTCGACATCCTAACATCAATCATTTTAAACATGAATTCAAGTTAAATGACTCATTATTTTCAAATTATTTTTAATATTATGCTTATTCAATTGCTATACACAATTTAAAAAAAATTTATATACCGTGTTCAACCCATGTATGCCCTATATTTTCAATAGTTGGCGTGTCCCGTATCCGTGTCGTGTCGTAACTGTGTCGGCGTAACAGTGCCTATGCATCATAGTTTACTAATGGGATAAGTGAGACTAACATTTTATAATATGTAACGCATGGTACCTGTGGTTTTTTTTTTATTTCCTCCTATATTTATCTCATTAAAAATACCAAACAAAAGAAATGCTAGCACAAAAATAAAGAATAAATTCTCTTCAACTCTAAACCATAGATAATACACATTTCATTGCGACCATGATCATTGATTCTTTATATCTTTTCTTTATTTTTTTTATAAGGCTCAGAATAGACCAGGATCTTTGATGACCGGTAGAGTAAAAGAAAAATTAAATGCCAAGAAAAAGTCATTACCAAGCAGCAACTGAAGAACCATGGAAAAAGTATTTTAGTCATTAACCACCACAGGTTTCTTTTACAGTTGAAGCTCATGCCTATTCAACAACAACAACATCAAGCCTTTATCCCACTACGTGGGGTCGGCTACATGAATCCTTTTTCTCCATTGTGTCATATTAAAAGTCAAATTCTCGTTTAAATCTAATAAAGAAAGGTCATTCCTAATATTTTCTAACCAAGTCTTTTTAGGTCTACCCCTACCTTTCTTAACATAAGTCAAATCAAATACCTCTACTCTCCTAACCGGGTCATCGGAAGGCCGCCGTTTTATGTGACCAAACCATCTAAGGCGACTCTCTCTAATCTTATCTTCTACTGGAGCAACTCCAACCTTTTCACGTATATGCTCATTTCGTATCCTATCTCTAAGGGTAAAGCCACTCATCCACCTGAGCATTCTCATCTCTGCCACACTTAACTTAGTATTATGCTTCTCTTTTAATGGTCAACATTCGGCACCATAAAGCATTGCAGGCCTCACTACCTAATTCTATTATCCTAGGATTTATTTCAATAGGAACTACTTCACTCTCACGCACATCTCATATTATAATCATTTCTCATTACTACCACAATAAACATGATGGCCAATGTCTCTTGATCATCTCATATAGCTCCCATGTAATTTTGCACTCCAGAAAAACCTTCCAATTGATGAGTACCTCATGTGCCTCTGCTTCGACGCACCCCTTCTAATTCTAGGGGTTCCAAAATGACCTCCATATCTTCTGTCAAAATCTAAGATAGTGAAGATGGTGTGTGATCTCCTATTGCTCGCCTCAGCTATGAGACATGAAATACTTGGTGCAATGCTAATGAAAGTGGTAGCATCAATCGATAGGTCATTGCTCCAATGCGTTCCAAAACATCCTTCCCCACCTCCCATGATCAGAACCCCCTAGCTCGATTTGACCACCTCCTTCTCCGGTTGTCCATTCCCCTAGCTCAAAAAGCCTCCTATAGTGGTCGGGCACTCCACCTCCACCATAAAACTCCCTTCTTGCAAGGGGTGCCAATAACCCAACCCAAAAACTTGAGGTTCCAGTCGACCTGTTTAACAAACGAGTCGGTTTAGAGTTGCAATTTTAGACCCGTTTGAAAATCGGGTAGGGTTCGGGTCAACCCGCTAACCTGACTTTGACCCGGTTTGACACGAAATCTGATAAGGCTTCGACGCTTCGTCATCTTTGCCTCCATGCTTCGTGGTTCAAATCCCAGGAGTGGGTCGACGCTTCGTCATCTTTGCGCCTATGATATCGGCGTCAAATTCCACCGGTGGCGCCTGGGTGTAGCTCCGTCAGCAAGCTAATTAATACCTACAGTTCTTCAGCAACCTTCGAATATATCTCACATGGAAGAAATAGAGCTTTTCAGATGGATGAGGCGCCTTACAGTAACAACAAGAGAGCTTTTAGAGCTACAGCTAGTAGCAGCATAATGCGACAAGCACCCCCTCAGTCTCCTTCAACAAGCTAATTAATGAAGAAAGATCAATAAATAAAAAATAAGGTTTAGTAAGAAGCACAGAGCCACGTCGAAGGTTTAGTAGCAGCATAATGCGACAAGTACCCCCTCAACCTACACTGACGATTTCAAATCTCGCCAGTGTCGATAATTTTAGAGACTACTGCCAATCCGCCGGCCTCAGTTGAGCCTCAACCGCCGCCACCGCTGCTAAGAGAAGATGTCTTGAGCCTCCACCACTGCGCCTGGATGTAGAGGTAGGAAGGCTTAACCTTGCACCGCCGCTGCTAAGAGAAGAGGTCTTCAGCCACTCCAAATGGTATCACCTTTGTCTTCCTCCCCAAGGATTTGAGCTGCACTCGCACATGCACCCTCGCCTAGGAAGTAAAAACAGCAAAGAAACTAAGAAAACAACTGCATGATTACAAATATAGTGGCTGAATTTGGATTTCTTCTTTGAAAACAAAGCAAGATACAATTGATCTACTATTCGAGAGGTAGATCGGCTCTCCCACAAACCCTAGATGCCACTAGAAAACTCTCAAAGAAAAGATACAGATGAAACCAATTGCAACATATGAAAATAACAACGTAATTAAGTCTAAATAGGCTCCCCTAAATCCCCCCTCAAATCAGCCTCATTTCCTTAATTAATTCCCTCTTAGATATCTCTACCTTGATTTCTCCCAAAATCCCTCCTAGATCTATCCCAGCTTCGGCAAAACCTATGGGCTGGTTCGACTCTTGTTGAACTGGCTGGCTGGGCCTGTTCCCCTCTCCGCTCCCTTTTGTCGTATCAATTTATTTTCACAGAAAATCAAAGGCAGCTGCCAACCCTGCGGAAATACTTGAACAAATGGTGTACCAGCAGGAAAGAACCACACACGGTTTCAACTGCCGGAATAAACAAAGGGAGTATTGGAATTCTCTTGAGCAAGAACTGTGTACTTGGACCAAGGAAGGGTCAGTTGGAATTCCAAGAAGCCATCAAGTTATTCGTTATCACTATTTTGTTAATTGCTGCAGATTTATCTTCCCGTAAACAGCCTTCTAATAGGAGCAATTACAGGTTATTAGAATCAAGAACTTAATCTTGGATCATCTCATGCCCCCTCCAGGCGCCAAAAAGGTTCAGATTGGAACCAAACAAGGGTTCAGAAGGGTAAAAAGTGACACCCAAGTGCAGAGGAGTATCATATCCACCAGCCAATAAATTTCTTAGGAAATTTCCATGAGTACAGAAGCTTATAGTCAATTAAGTTGTCATAATCTGGTGTTGTTTTGTCTAATTTCTGCTCTTAATTTAATTTTTTTTTTAGTGCAATTGTTGCTTAGTTTTTGTTTGTAAGGATTTCTTTATAGGATTGGCAAAATAAAATTAAGAGTTTCCATGTTTTTTGTTTAGTCATTCTTCCATCTTTATCATCCGCATCAAATTCAGATAAAATTGATTGAATTTGAGCTTGAATCCAGACAAAATCAATGCAAAATCATAACGCCACCGCTTACTAGGAGATTAAAAGCTTATAATCAATAGCAACGCAGGTTCACAACTGTACCTCTTTCTTATGTGCAATCTTGTCCTCATCACCACCTCCAGTAACTAAACCTTCAAGAATTTTAGCAAGCAATGGAGTATACTTTGGATACTCCTCCTGCATGTATACGCCATGTAAAAATTAATGCCCCAAAGAACTAACTAATTTTAAAGAAAATGGACAGATGTGAGAGTGAAATTGAACAAAGAAAAAATATGATTATGGAACAATAAAAATAGAAGAAAAAAAAAATGAAACCATATAGATCATGAAAAACAAGTGCTCACTTATTATTTCAAAAACATAAATTAGTGCATGTACTTAAGAAAGTACTGAGGCACTTAAGCAGATATAATCTGCAGACATTTCTAGTTATTAAGAGAAAAAGGATTAGCATGAAAGGTTTTTTTTTTCTCTTTCGAGAGCGCATGTTATGCTTGAGATAAGAGAACTAGTGTCATTCAAGAATGACATTTAAGGATTACTAGAAGAAATTTAAAAAAAAAAAATTAAGATGTAAATTCAACCTTGAGTGAAGTGCATAATTCTTTCCATTCCAGCCTGTCCTCTTCAGTATCTCTTCTCAATCCTGATAGAAACCTTATCTTAGTGTCCCTCACCTGTTAAGATAAGAATTCAATTTTCAGAAAATCAAACTAAAATTGCTTCTTAGTGGATTTGCTTTAAAAAAGCGAATACATGAAATCTGAAGAAACGTTTTACATCGCATTAGCATCTTCTTCGTAATTTCATAATCATAACAATATGTTTGCAAGATAATTTGTCACAAAAAAAAAAAATCTTGAGAAAATACGGTATTAAGCAACACATCTACATAACGTGAAACAATGCCTTCATCCAGATTATACTCCCAAGAAACCGATCCAAGCCAAACCAATCATATGAGAAAAAAAAAAGGACCGGCAGGGATAACAGAGGCAGAGCTCCGATCTTCTACCACCTTCACAAACTGTGCTACGTAATCAGTTGCCCTAATATTCAATCAATAGCTTTGCTCCAACATGAGCAAGCTCTGATGAGTTCTTTCAGGGAACGATTCACTTTAACTGTGTTTACTGTTCCTAGAAATTCAGAATCTCCTCCTCTTAAGCATCATATTTTTCAATTTGAACAGATTTACATCAGCACTGGAGCAATATCTCTCTTTCTGGCTCAAAGACAAATGTAACCACAAATCCAAAGCCCAAAGCTCCACCAAGAAGATGTTCCTGTGCCAAGATGTTGATCATGAACTAAAAATCACTTACTCTTTGTTTAGATTTTCAGTTTTTCAATCTGATGGGCCCAAAATGAGAACGGAAGAGCAGGTTCCCATGCTAATTGCACTAAGATGGGAGGGAAAAGTGCTGGACAAGATAAACTAGATTCATAAACAAAATGTGAGGAAAAACACAATCTATTTTCTTGCTATGTAAATGCACTATTCAGGTTGCTACAAACCAGCACCACAATATTGAAGATGGATAAAACCAAACAAATAAAGAAAGGCCAAACAGATGCCTTTGATACGATAGATAAAGATGCGTCCAAATTGGTAGGACCAAATTAGTATAAATTTAATGAGTTAAGAGATTAAATCAAGTGCCTGGGAAATTTCGGAACTAGAACGAACACCCTTAAAAAATTTAGGGGCCATTCTGACAAGTTACTAAATTGACAGAAAAAATACTAAAAAATCATTAACAAATTACTAAAAAAATTGCTAACATTTAATACTAAAAATTTACAAAGGTATGATCATTATTCACTTAAAATTTCATCCATAAATTTTCACACATCATAAAGATGATTAAAAATATTTTTATATAATTCACTACGTTATATATATAGAATTAATAATTAATAAATTATCCTAAAGTTTATTTTAAATATTTTTCATAGAATTTTATACTATTCATCCCATTATTATATTATAGCATCCATTGCATTTCCACAAAACACTGAATGCAATAGTTGATTGCCTATTCATCCAACTGTTCTGGAAATAAGATTGTTTGAGGTGCTAAGAAGAGGAAAATATTTGGTAAAAGTTGATTAGGGCTCTTAAACGCAATAAACCGTGCAGGTAATCTGTTTATGCTGCGAACGTTTGTTAAGACAACTTCCTTTCAATGCTTTGGAACTTTTTTTTTTTTTTGAAAAAGAAGGTGATGCAATCAATTATTTACAAGATATATATAGGAGAAATGAGGCAGCCAAACAGCCCAAAATACAACCAACCGAATCAATCAGGATAAGGAAAACAGAAGGCTAGCAAGAGGTCCAGGAGTAGCAGCTGAAGGGCCACACAGGGAACCGAAACAGGCGCCCACAAGGAGACGAACGGGAGGCCACAGGGAACCGGAACAGGCAGCCATGGGAAGGGGACCAGGCGAAGGAACTGAAAGGCTAGCAGAGAGGGGGAATGAACCTAAATAACATCAATTTATGAGCTGAAAAAGAAGCAGCTCAGCATTAATGAGCTGGAGCATAGTAGCTCCCAAAAAACACAGCAAAAACCCAATAGCTAAGCCAAAACCGAGAACCCATCAGCACGGCATTTATATTAGGCTTTGTTGGAGCCTTATGTTAGTCAAAATTTTGGTAGCTCTCTAACATCATCTCCATGCAGGGGGCTGGATAGAGGTGTGATGAGCCTTCCCACCACGCCAAGAAAAGCATGCATGGTTGGTCTCGGGTGACACCGTGGCCATAATCTTTAATTTCATAATCCAAGAAAGGAAATGCAAGTGCCTTCAAATACCTGTGTGCAAAATACAATATTTCCATGTCGGCTAAAAAAAGCTTTCATGGGTACTTATGGTCTCATGCATAATAGTGTTTTCCCCGCCTACAATAAAAGTCAGTTAAGGGTATTTATAATTTCATGCATTGATGTATTTTACCGCCCACCAAAAAAGGTAGTTACAAGTACTTATGATTTCACTTCACGATGCTAAGAAAAACATACACAAGTTCCACCAGGCCCATCATGCGTGTCGCCTATAAGTTTGTCCAATCAACTAAAAAAAGCATGCATGAGTTCTGTTCATCACGCCATAGGCATCACATTTAGGACTTCTACAATTTATAAAATAAAAACTAGTGTCAGGTCGGGGTTATACCTCAAGATGCATAGCGGTGGAGGCAGTGGAGGTGTTGATGGTGATGGCGACGACGAAATGACGGTGATACATGAAGCACAAGTAATATTTATTTTTAGCGCTGGGTGGAGGCTAGAGATAGAAAGAGAGATTTTTTATGATAGAGAGTAGAGAGGGAAAGGCTAGGGTTTTTGTGGGAAGTGTTTAGACAGAGAAGAAATAGGCTTTCTCTCTTAGATTTTAGAGAGATAAATGATTTTCTCTCTCTAGTTCTAGGGAAAGTGTGGGAGCTTTTTTATGGAGGTGGTGTGAGGGTTCTATGAAGATGTGAGGTGTTTGAGAGAGAAAATCACTTTCCAACTCTCAGATTTTAGAGAGAGAAAGAAGTGGGCTGAGATTAGAGTTTATTGGAAGAAGATAATGGAAAGGAAGAAGATGAAGTGAGTAAGGGAAGAAGAAAAAGAAGAGATTAAGAAGAAGAAGAAATAAGAAGGGAAGAAGAAATAAGAGGTGGGAGGTGGCGATTTTGGTAGTCGATGGCAGCTAAGGCTGGCTGGCGAGCTAGAGAGTGATGGGAAGGTGACTAGCATCAGGTCTACACACGAGGGAGAGAAAGACTGAGAGAGGCAGGAGGGTGCATGCAGGAGAGATCATTAGAGGGAGAGGGAGTTACATGAGTGGAGTGTTAGTGCTAGTTGGGTGTGAGTGAATGGGATATGAGGGGTAGTCTAGGTATTTAAGTGGAGGGAAAATTAGGGTTAGGCCAAGATTTAAGAAATTTCTTTTCTTTATTTTTTTTATTTTAAACATAAAATTAATATAAATTAACTTTTAATTAATAATAATATTTATTCATGCCCTAGTCCCCTTGTCATGTCATCATCATTCACACATTTTCGCCGATCAACAACCTTGGTCAATATGGATGTCAATCGAAATTGTTTCTACTACCCTGAATGCCCCAAGCGTTGTCTGCTTCGAAAAAGAACGTAATTTCAGTAATTTGGGTTTTTGGTTGATGTGTTTTAGATAGTCATCGTGCAACATTGCACTCCTTTGACAGTCGTTTTCTCGTGTATAGCTTACTCAACACCAGAGTTGGTATTGGGGTCAACATAACTATCTTCCTTATGACTTCCCTTCTTCATTCTTCAATTCAGATAATAGAAATGATTTCATTTAGTGACACTTTTTGGCAAATTTAAACTCTTATAACATTGAACTAAACAATTAATCCAACAAAAAAAAATCATATATTTAGTCTTTTCCAACAATCATTTTAAGAAAAGCCATATATTTGTTGCAAAGAACTTGGTTACATTGATAATGATCCATCTTTTACTACAAGATTTGCAAAAAGTTTGAATATTCTATAAGGGATCGTCCTTCTCACTCTATGGTGAGATCTTGGCCTTGACTTCATAGATTTGTGTGGCATCACAAAATTTGGAATACATTTGATTTATCATATCTCATATTTCCTTTGTTGAAGGGAGGAACATGTATCTAAGACTTATCTCAAGAATCATAAGAGTTCCATAACTAGCACATCACCAAAGAATCATGTTCATTTCAAACTTTTAAGATGATATCACGTTGCTCAAGTTCAATGAACTAAATGTCCCAATTTTCCTCTTCCCTTCAAAAACATGCAAACTAATTGTGACCATTTTAAATAGTTTTTTTTTTATTCAATCAGTATATTGAAGGGATGTTTTAAAACTCTTGTTGGATTCAGATTGCCTCTCAAATTTACAAATGGAATGAACAACAAAATACTAAGAAACTACCAACAAATTGCTAAAAAACTTCAAGAAAAACAAAAATAATTTGAATAAGCTAACTCAAATATTTATGAAAAAAAAAATTCATAATTTATGTCCAAATTAATAATGATAAGGGAATTAGGCAGAAAACATAACTAAACGACTGAACTTTCATTGAGGTAGGAATATATATAAAATGCACAAGAACAGTTATGATCATAATTAAACATGTATAGAACTATTATAAAGTAATAAAACAAGCGCATCACGCATCAAATAGAATTTTATACACCTCATCTTTCAGACGCTCAGTGATACTTTTAGTACAAATTGGGATCTCCTTCCCTTTGTCATCATCAACCTGCAAGGAAGAATTTTTTTACATATCAGAAATCAATCTATCTAGTTAACATACAGACCTTCAAAAATACTTCAGTTGTGAGCTCTTAGCACCCACGTAAGTTTTATTATTTAACATAAAAAACGGAACTGCCACAGTTAACGAAAGTTCATAGAAAATTCATAAGGCAAGAACTTAGTATTACCTTGACTGGTGGAATTAAATAAGATATTTGATAAGACACTGGTGATTGTCGATTTTTTTGTTCATCTTTGCTGCTTCCAAAAGAAACTGTTCCATAGGAAATTGATCCAAGTAACACAGATCCAGTCGACGAGCTCTGTAAGGTTTTCAAATTATTGCAAACACAGTAAGCAAAATATAAATACATTTAATCAAACTCAATAGCACCAATTTATCAGGGACAACAAAAATCCAGTCCAAACTCATAAGCAGTAAAACCTTTGGAAGTTTCTCTCTAGAAGGTGCGCCAACGTAGAATGCTTCTGCTCCGCTGGAAAATTATAAGAGTTAAAAGAGAATGAAAGGATTATATTAAAGCAATGCTCTCAAAAAGAAACTAAGGAAGTAAACTGTACCCAGGAACTAAAACCGAGGATTTAAAAGTGCCATTTCCAATAAAATGACCATCAGGCTGAGAAAAAAAGCTCAAATGAATGTGCTCCTGCATTCAAGATTAGCATCAGAATCCGTGTCATTCAGTGATCCGCTCACAGTAAATATGCCCACACATCTAATTAATAATTCTGTAAAAGTTGTTAGCTTGAGTCCTGTAAATACAGTAAAGTTGTTAGCTTGAGTCCTGTAAATACAGTTAGAGATGCATTATAGGCGGATAAATAGAAGGAAGATGAAATCTGGAGAAGAAGACTTGTATATTGAAATATTTTCTACTGCTTTTCCCAATAGATTATGGAGCGGCCTTGGCAGTTGGAGATCAGCAGTGGCGGGTTGGCTGCCTACCAGACAAAGAACTCCACTTGAATCAGAAGAATATGGTGATATGACGAGAGTAATATTGTGATGGCTGCACACTTATTAGAGCATAGCTTATCACCACCCCTCAATTAAGTGTCCAAGAACTGGAGACTTAATTTGCTGCACATCAGCTGAAACCGTGATGGAGAGAGTGACTTCTTGAGTATATCTACAGGTTGGTCTTTATAGTCAATAATCCCTAGGGATGGAATCCTGTCGCGAATGAAGTGATAATCTATTTCGATATGTTTGGTGCGAGTATAAAACATGGGGTTATTCACCAAGGCTAATCCAGATATGTTGTCGCAATGGAGAGCAATGGCAGCAAAGGAGAAGATGGGAAAATCAACTAACAGGCGACAAAGCGAGAAAATATCAGATACAACGGCTGGTAGGGCCTTGTACTTACCTTCTGTGGAAGATTTTGCTACTATGGGTTATTTCTTAACACTCCAAGATAGCAAGGTGTTTGTTGACCCGTAATTGTATAAAAAAAAAATCAAATAAAAGAATCGTACTTGCCCGCACGTCGTCGCCGCTGAAATCCCGTAAATCTAGCGATCGCGTTATTTCTCCACGACCTCGCACGACCCTGTGTCGTTAAAATGAAGAGAAAAAGAGGCAGAAACCTCCTCTCCCGAATCCTCTGCTCATTCCCCCGCTCTGATATCTCTCCTGCTCTTTCTCTCGATCTCGCTCTGACGACGACGAAGCTCCCTTTGAGCTAGATCGGAAGTGATAACAGTTTGATCGGAAACAAGAGGAGAATTCGCTTGCTGTCGAGGAAATTTTCTCCCCTTCGTGCGGCTTCTTCAGCTTCGTCCGTGGCTAGACGACTTCGCACCTTCGACGATTCTTCCTTCCAGCAGGATCGGAAGCCACGACATTTCGATTGGAAGCAAGGACGGGAGCTCGCATTGCTTCTCCGGCTCCTTGTGGTCGCTCGGCTTCGCTCCTTCGATTCGTCCCCTCCCTGTCGGACGGAAGTTACCATAGTTTGATCGGAAGCAGCACAGGGAGCTCGCTCGCTGTGAAGTTAACTTTCTCCCATCGCGTGCTACTCCGGCCCTCCCGTCGCTGTTCGACTTTGTTCATTCGGCGGCATTACCTTCCTGTTGGAGCGGAAGTTACTACATTTTAATCGGAAGCAGCATTCGGGAGCTTGTTTGCTTGAAGATAATTTTCTACCTTCAGTCGCTCCTCCGACTCCTCCTTGGCTGTTCGACTTTGCTCCATCTAAGACTTTCCCTTTCTGCTGGATCGGAAGTTGGACATTTAATCGGAAGCAAGAACGTGAGCTTGATGGCCGTGACTTCCTCCCTTGCATATGCTTCCACGGCCAAATCCCGTGGATCCACCGAACCCGAGAGAGAGAGGGAAAGATTAATTAGTTTGTTTTAATTAAAATTAATTTTTAATTAATGTTAACTTTAATTATTTTAATTAATTATAATTAATATAATTAATTAAAATTAGTTTTATTTAAATTATTATAATTAATGTTAATTAATTGTAATGATTTAATTAAATTAATTTTAATTAATTATAAATTTTTTTATTAATTACAATTAATTATTATTAATTAATTAAAATTAATTAATATTAATTAATTCTAGTTAATTAAAGATAAATATGATTAGTTATTTTAATTAATTATATAAATAATTAATTACTTTAATTAATCATAAACATAATTAATTAAAAATAATTATAGTTAATAATTAATTATAATTAATATTTTAATTAAAATAAAATATATCT